AAAAGAAATCTTGGCTGATTAAATAATAAAAAAGTATACTTATGTATCTTTAAAAAATCAAAAACTTTCTTTTAACATAAAATGGCTTATATAATTGTTTTGATTGGCAACTTTTATTTTTTTAATTATACTTATGTATCTTCAAAAAAATCGAAAACTCTTTTTTAACAAAAAATGGCTAATAAAATTGTTTTGATTGGAAACTTTTATTTTTTTAATAAAACTAAACAACCGTAGATTTACTAATAAATATATAAAAAAAAAAGATAGAAATATTTTTCTAACTATCAAATAGGGCAATTTTGTTTTTTTTTTTCACAACGATAGATACTATATCAAAAGAGAAAATGTACAAAGGTTACAATGCGCCTGCTAGATGCAGAATACAAGAAACACCACATCTGGTGCCTTGATATAATCACAAAATGAACAAATCAACTAACTGTTCTTGGCATAGGCTGATGCTATGAAGTCCAAGATAGCTAACTGAATGAGCTTGCTAATTCAAGAGAATCAGCTAACCAAAGGGCAATTTTGTTTTGATTGCTCTAAATCAATTTTTTTTTTCTGGCAACTTTTTTTAAATGAAAAATGAAACACGACTACATTAATTATAAATTGGAGATACGTGATGCAATTTTTTTGACAATTATTTAAAAAAAAAAGATATAAAACACGGGTACATTAATTATAAATTGTTGAGGCACTGTATATAGACTGAGATATATTTATCATATATCATTGCCTAAATTAATGATTTTATTATTTTAAAAAAAAAAATACCAAATCTAAGAGTGGAGTATGCTTTATTTATTAAAGGATATATTTGTGTTCTATTCAAATTCAAAATTTAAATTGTCGATATGAATATAAATTTGGATAGATTAAAGAAATATTATCCCTTGAATGATGGAATTTATTCCTTACAAATATACATAATCTGAACTGTAATTGTAAATTTATTAAGAACGTGAGTGAACAAATATATTTAAACTTCCTACGAGGAAGGATTTGGTTAGATATTGAAAATATTGAAATTTTACTTGCTATGAAACTCTATATAATTGTTTTATTTAGCATTCTTTTTCTAATAAGAAATAACACACGACTTGAATCAATATCAATGTTTCATTATGATAATGTGATAATACAATTTTAAATGATATGAAACTCATTTTTGTATGCACGTGTGACAATATAATATTACATGATACGAAATATATTTTACTATATAACAAGATTACATATTTATTAAATATTGTAGTACAAATCAGAATTAACTAATTTTGAACTTTCTATTTATGGTTTTAACAAAATTACATGCCATTTTTATTTGTGCAATATTCTTTTTTTTTTTTTTT